GAGGGACTTCTACCCATCACTGAGGCCTCACTCAGCAAAACAGGTGAGTGATGAGAAAAGAGTGAGATGAGACTCCAGAAAATCCAAGCACTGGAACCAGTCCCCAGGCCAAGGAATCCAGCCAGGTGTCACTAGTTAAGCATCTACTATGCCACAGAGCAGGATGGGCCCAGGGGAGGCACAGGAGGTGTGGACTCACTCAGAAAGTTGGCTTCACCTGAGAAACATCCCAGCACCATTAACACAAAAGTAACAGCAGAAAGGGCAGAATGAAATACGTCAGTGGAGTTAAGAGAATTGAGTTTGGAAGGAAAAAAGTGAAAACTAGTATTTATTGATCACCTCCTGTGTACCATCTTTAAAATGAGAACTAATTTTAGTGTTGTACAGTGCCTATAAAACTGAAAGCACTATGTATGTGAGTCCAGATACTATTGATTTTTCCAATATTCTCTTTTACTTTTTCATAAAACTGTATCTATAATTGGCCTTTAATAAATGGCACATATCTAAAATGTCTATTTGATGTTCTGACACAGCATGCACCCAATAAAGATACTATCACCATCAAGGTGGTATGTCTGCCACCTCAAATATTTCCTTGAGCCCCATTTATAATTGTGGTGCTCTCTGCACCCACTGACCATTCTAGGCAACCACCAATGTGCTCTCAGTCACTGTATATCAGTGCACATTTCCTGAATTTTTAAATAATAGAACTATAGTTTGTATGGTTTTATGGGGCAGGGGTCTAGCTTCTATTACTCAGCACAGTTTGTGATTAATGGATGTTGTATCTTTGCTATGGTTTGAACAGTTTGAGTGTGTTCCCCAAGGATTTGTGTGTTGGAAGCTTGGTCCTTAGCATGGCAATGTTGAGAGGTGAAGGGGCCTATAGGGAGGCCCAAGACCAGCCCCTCCCCTTCTCCACATAGCCTGGATGCCTGCCTTACCATGTGGGAGGTCCTCTCCTTCTTCCTTCTTCCCTCCAGGGTTCTTGTTTGATGATCTACGATGATCTAGTCAAGCAGTCCTCATCAGAACTTAGTCAATGCCAGTACCATGCCCTTGAACCTCTAGGCCCACCAGCAAAATAAGTGTCTTTGTAAAATATCCAACTTTGCACCCCAACCCTACCATCAAACATTTCTCTAGGGAGTCTTGGTTCTTTTCATTGAATACGGGCATTAGACACCAGGTTCTGGGTGCTAAGTGTGCTTGTATGACTAGTTTCTAGGGTAATCTTATTTCCAGGCCCTTTCACCATAAGGGCTAGGTAATACAACTATGGCTATTAACCTGTGTATATATACATACACACATATCCATAGCTGTATCCTATGTTAAGCTAAAAATGAATTCCTATTGATGTCCCTAATACTGATCCATTCCACATGATCATTCTGTTGTCACCTTTAATAATAACCCTGTACTTGGTAATTTGTGCCAGATATGGTGCCAAACTATTTACAAAGATTACTTAATTTAATTCTCAACATAAATATACAGGAAAATGCTATTGCCCACATTTAACAGATGAGGAAAACTGCAGCTCTGAAAGATATCTTACTTAAATTCACAGGCAGTACTCAGGCTAGCATAGGAGCCTATGTCCTTAAGAGTGCATATTCACCCAGCAACAAAATATTTATATTCTCTATATTCATCTCTACATTAATTGGAGAGTGAAAATTTCATTTCTGAGCAACTTAAGGTACAGCTGACTTCTCAGTTCTCAAGTCTTGTTCTGCACAAGCCTTACCTCGTCAGTACACCTCCCCACCCCACCCCACCCACCTGACACAGTTGCTGGAGGACAAGCTGCCACCTTACAACTCGACAGCACCATAAAAAGGGTCCTGGAGCAATGGCAAGGATCGGCTCCATGACCTGGTGACTTTTCAACCTCTGGCTAACCCCCGCCATGTATTATCCTGAGTTTCAGTGACTTAGTGCTAATTAACTCTGAGCAAGCGGCTCTTCTCTCCTGGAGTTAAAAAAGAACGTCAGGCACTTTTTCCTTGTTAATTAAATCATCCACGAGGAAGATAAATGTGCAGCCCACACTTGTATCTTCTAAAATATCAAAGGCCTGACTAGTACTTGTTAGATTTTACTTTAGGCTTTCTCTCCAGATTCCTGGAAGCACGGAGCTTCTAAGTGTTTATCAATAGTCAGTTACTTGGTCATTCCTTTACTCATTCTTTCGGGGTGACCTAGAAAGAAGCAATCTGGATCAAGCACAAAATGTCCCTGGGAATTTCGTCTCAATTAACCCACTGACTTGGAAACATCAGAAGTAACAGACAGGAAGAAGGAGAATCCTTTAGATCATGTTGAAAAAACACTTTTTGAAAATCTCACAGACCCTTTCGCCCCTGTGTTCTGTTTGGTAAATTTATACTGACAGTGGTAGTTTTACTTGGCAGAACCACAACAAAAGGGGTCTTTGAGTTTCCCTGGCAGCATTCCTCAGACTGCACCTCTCCTGGACCTGACAAAGGTGATACTGTTGCTGGATTTCAGGGCTCACAGCACCTGAGGGAGATCAAAGGCACTTCCTGATGCCAGTGTGACCACAGTCTCACCTCGTGACATAACATTAAAGCGGATGACTAATCCTGTTGGCCCAGAAGGCCAGTTCTCACTCGAAAGTACAAAGCCAGTGGGGGTGGATAGTATATTTCCAGTAAGAAGGACACCATAAACTGACATTTTATGGTCCTTATTCATTGCAGCCAACTGCAGCTGCCCATCAAATTTGTTAAAGCCCAAACAGTGGCTTCATGTGAGTCATTTATGTCACTGGAAAAGTTCCACTGGAATCCCCTCCCCTGCCAAGTGTCTATGGGCACATGTACCCATGATGCATCATATCCAGCAGCCCTCTGAGACTGGCACCGTTACCCTCAATTTGATGTGTGAAGAATCCTAGGGCTTCTGAGAAGTTCAGTGGCTTACTCAGGTCACAAGGCCAAACAATGCATGAAAAGATGTCCTAAAATCTATTTAACAACTGTAAGCACCTGCTCTTTCCACTTCTCAACAGGGTTATGGTCAGCATGTGTAGTACCATGTTACAGCCAAGAGTGTGAGCTTCGGGGCCACACAGTGCAAAATTTGAGTTCCTGGATGCAGAACTTAGTATCTTTGTAACCTTGGGAAAATTACTGGACTTTTCCATGCCTTAGTTTCCTCATCTGTAAGGCAGGAAAAGCCAGTGTCATTCCATGAAGAGACAATGTGAGGCATTGCAGAGTGACTTTCATTTAGATCTGCATCTGCATAGAAGTCAAAACTGAGTAGGTTACAAATACCTGACTCTCAGGCTTGACAGTGGAAACCAAAGCAGGTTTGTCCTACTAAAAATAGGGGGTGGTTTAAATAGGTTTAAATAAAGGATTGGTGGAGACAAATGAACAAGTATAGACCTACGTCTAGGGAAATAAAGGCTGGCCTGATGCTTGGGCACTTCATGCTGAAAGAGGCCTTGACTTGCCTTCTGTGACAGCTACACTTCACCACAGGGTTGCTAGTGGGGAAGAAACACGTGAGACTTTAAATCTGGTCAAGGAACTTCCATTTAACACAGCCTAGAGCTCAGAGAAACAAGTAAAAAAGAAATGTATACCCTCAAAATCTAGCCCAAATGTTACCCTGGAAGATTTCTGCAACTCTGAACCCTTCTGGCTCCTGGCTGCCCCATAAGGAAAGTGCAGGTAATCAAGAGCAGGCCTTGAGAAGTGCTCACCCACGTGAAGCCCTTTACCTCATTCAGTCCTCCCACCAGGAGACACAGGCTGTCATGCTCCACATTTTGCAGGTGAGGAATCTGAGGCCCTGAGAGGTGAAGTACCTTGTCCAATGGCCCCTTCTCAGGAAATGAAGGAAGTGGGACTGGAAACCAGTCAGGCTGGCTCAAATATCTCTACAACATGGGATGCCACATGAGAGAACAACTTGTTTGTGCCTGGCACGTAACATACTCAGTATCATGGTTTTAGTCTGAACTTGTATTGGAGCCTCATGTTGCAATATCTGTTATGACTCTATCTCATCTACAGGAGGGTCTATGTCATCCTTATGTTCCCAGAGTTTAGCATTGAGAGGACATGACAGCAGGGATCAGCAAATAAGTAATTGCATCAAGTATCTACTGACAAAAAAAGCTCTATGTGGTCCCAACAGGCACTAACCAGTGGCACATGATTTCCTTTGGATTGCAGACAATTCTGCCCTGGGCTGTGTCCCACTCTACTCTCTGCTTATCTCCTGCCACCACCCCCCCTTCCACATTCCCCTCTATTGTACTCATCTGGGAAAAATCCAAGGAGTCGTCCATCTCAGTTTAGCAGAGTAATGACTTTTAAATAAAAATATGGTAGAAATAGGTACTTATCGAAATGGAATGCTTTCAGACTCATGCATTTAAAGAAGATATAAATTTTAGGGCAGGCACTAAATTTTAAGTGCAATCTTGGAGAAAGCCTTTCCATTAATTCATGGAGAAAAATTGACAAAGTGAAAATTGCTTATCAGTGTTCTTTAGAAGTCATGATATGCAGCCTAATTCTATAGCTCATCAGGATGCTCCCAGGGAGATGGATTTATATTGATGGAGAGCTTGAGGCCAAAGAAGAGAGACACTTCTCCAAGAACTGTACTACCCTCAGAGACAGATTGTTCTGGAGGAATGAGGCTTTGTCATCTTTGGGCCCAACTATATTCACCATGCTTGGTTCTCTGGCCAGGTTGTCTTCAAAAGCAGATTTAACCCTTGCATGCGTCTTAAGAATTTGGCCTCTGGAAAAAGCCTGGGAAAATCTAAATCAGGCTGTGGGAAGGGCAGTCTGTGGGCTCCTGGCTAGACAAAACCCAAAGGCGCAGGAAGGGAAAAGAGGGAGGCAAGGCAGGGGTGAAAGAACCGGTATGAGCATTCCTCATCCTGGGCTGCCTCCCTTTGCATGCAGTGGCCTTGCCCTGGTGTTCAGCATACTCACCGCCATATGACACGAAGATGTTCCACAGATGACTGCCAGCCGTGATGTCACTGGCTGGCCCTCACAGATGAGGCCGTGACCTGTCACGTCTGCTCCAATCACTCCTGTAAGAAACAAAACAAAACAAATCTCTCTTAAAGAAAAAAAAGGAAAGAAACCCAGAGCAAGCATAAAACCCTCTATGTTCCATGTGTGGGCCAGTCTACTCACCTGTCATGGGAAATAAGGAAATTTGCTCTGTTCTGCTTCACTGTGACCCATGTATGGTTCTGATCTTGTAGCAGTAACAGTAACTGTACTGCCTTCCATAATGAGAGCAATGGCCACCAGCTCCTTTGTACTCATGGAGGAGCAGGCATGTGCTGTACATTTACGTGTGTACTCTCACTGAATATTAACACTGTTGGGTGGATGTCAGCAATGCCACAGACAGACGTCAAGGCAGAACCATGGTCTGCAGAGGCTAACAGACTTGCCCACAGTCACACTGCAGTGAGGAGTGGAGCAGAAGGATGGGGTCTGATTCAACACATCACACCTTGATTTCAAAGAAGGCAAGCACAGAGGAATTGCCTCAGGACTGAGTCTTCCTAGTATCTCTAGGTCACTGATCTCATTCCCACTTACTGCAGTGCTCCAAGTGTGAAGCAGAGGGAGAATGAGTGTGAGCCCCTGTTGAAAGAATGTCGTATCGCAGAGTTTCCCATGCATAGTAGACTCAGGCTTTTCTACACAGACTATATTCCTCAATATGTGCTGGGCAAATGAAATTACAAATATGATCAGAAAGCTAGACAGAGCTGGTCCACCTTCATTTATTCAAATATCCAACAAGTAATCTGTGCACAAAATGACACATTAGGTATGATGTGGAAGCCATGGACAAGAAGTACATAATTATAGCACAAGGCAGGAGGTGAACAGTGCAGGGCAGAGATTGGATGCTGGGATGCAGGAGAGAAAACCTCCCGCTGACCACTTCAGCTCCAAACACTGCCACCTGTTTCTCAATCTAGAGTACTAGATGCTCCTTTGCACCTTTTCATATGCTGGTCCCTCTGCCTGGAATGCAGTCCTCAGCCTCTCCACTGGGCTGGCTCCTCTTTACTCCTAACATAGATGGTATTTTCTCAGGAAGGGCCTCCTAGTCCTACAGGAAAGATGGAATCTCCCTGTTCAGTGTTGCACCATTGTACGTCCCCAATAGAAAAGACTGGCAATTTTGAGAGCTCATGAACCACCTGATCCTCTTCTATAATAAAAGTCAGACGAAGGCCTTGCTTTATTCACATGCTTGGCAGTGCAGTATCTCCTAGAGTTGCTGTCTCAGGGCAAAAAGTGAGAGTATGAATGCTGGAGGATGCAAGATACAAAACACGGGTGGGTCCCTGTGCTCAGGGTGTCCACAGCCTGGTGAGAGAGAGGACCCTAAATTGAGCATTTCTGCCAGGGTCCAGAGGGAGTTCTGTAGGAGTTCAGGCCACACTGAGTTCCACAGGAGTTAGCTAGGTGAAAGGCAGGATGGGGTGTCTTAGTAGGCCACAGATTCTCAGATATTGAGACACAGGCTACTCAGCAAGTAGGCTTTTCTAGACATCTGGATCTAGGGGCCAAAGAGAAGCCTCTTACAGTTTGCTAGGATTTTCCATTGCATTTCCCAAATTCTTCCTTCTGGGCACAGCAGCTTATGCACCTCTGCTAGTTTTCAGAGGCCCAGCTGCAGGGGGCACAGCTCTCCTGAGCTTTCTGCACAGCTTATTACAGTAGCAAAATCACAGCAACCAAGCAACTAAGGACTGGGACTTGAGCCTGCAGGAATCTGGGCCCATCTGCTTTCAGACCAAGCTCCTGCTCTGCTCAGCATGGTGGGGCTGCCCCCAGACTAACGCTTCCAGACTCAGCCAAGGTCCAGCCTGCAAGAGATCCAGTGGCTGGAGCAGAGGGAAAGCCAAAGCATGTCTCCTTGTCTTCCTTCAGAGGGAGATTCTGACTGTGGACATTTCCCTTCCACCTTCGGCTGTATTGACAGTAGCCACGGCTGCATAATCCACTGGTGTTAACTCCCTGGGTGTCCACACTCTCTCTCTCCTTAGACACCAGCCCCTTGTGGTAGCAGCTTCCATTCTGTTATCTCCAGTTTCTCAGATCCTTCATCATCAGGGAACAATCTTCTTTGCACATGAAATTCTCCTTTTTATTTATTTACTTATTTTATTTTATTATTATTATTATTATTATTATTATTATTATT